ACTGTGCATGATCCGGCATGACCTGCACTGACACACGCCCTGTGGCTTCCGTTGTAGGCAGGTGTGGCCCTACTTCGCGTTTATGAGGCCAGGGGTTGTAAAAGGGGTTTTACAGTTAATTTTAAAGATAACTCTGTCCACTCTGGTCTCTGACACTTAGGGTCAAATGCATGGCCAAGGGACCCCAGGTGGAACAGGAGGACTTCTGTTACTCTGGTATTTACCTATGTCTATGACAAGGAAACTCCCGTTAGAGCCCAGTTATTAGAATTAGCAAATCTTGTTACAAGACTCTAGGATTCTCCCACCCACGGAGATTTTAGAAAACATCTGTTCCAATTTTGTCACGGGGAGATTTAGGCAGGTCACAGCCAGTTCAGGACAGAGCTGGGGCCGGGGCCCACGCCTCTGCAGCCAGCACAGGCGGCCACATGGCCCCTCAGGCTCCACCCATCTCGGTCCCACCCAGGACATGCTCCCGGTGTTCAGGTGAGCACCCCGCCCTGCTGGCCCGCTCCCCACTTCTCCGCAAAGCCACGAGCTAAATGCCAAGGTCAAATCGCCTGGCCCTCCTGGAGGAGTGACCCTTATACATCATAAGGGCCGGTTCTGCTCGGTTTCTCCTGCTTCTCCCCAACACTGGTAACAAGTATCACTTCATCTACATTTCCCATGGGGGGGGCCGGGGTGGGGACAGGGGGAGCATGCCACCGCTTCAATTTATCTCTTTAAGCCAAGGGTAAACCTGACTCGGGGTTCTCTGGGACCCAATAAACATACCAGGGATGCACATACCTGCTTAGGAACAGGTATGGCCCAGCTATGCTACACAACAGATTCACATTTCAAACAAATCTTACTTTCGTTCATGAGGCGTCTCTGTGCTCACTGAGTGGTACCTCATAAGTTTCCTCTGCGAGCCCCCCGGGGAGCCCTGGGCGGGTTCCGGAGGCTCCTGGCACTCCACGGGGAAGTGACTCAGGGTGTTCGCCCGCCTTCGGTGGCCCTGCTGGGGGGAGAGCGGGGCAGGCTCTTCCGCGGGAGGGCTCTCCGAGTCACCGGACAGCAGGTCGTCTGAGGAGCCCAGGAGCCTGGTTCTGCTCTCAGACGCGGGCGGGGCCTCCTTGTCACACACAGAGGGCTCCTGGAGGCAGACAGACAGCAGGTCAGACGGATCCCAGGAAACCTGTGGGATTTACAAAGCTCTAAACCCCAGCAGCAGGAAAACAGTTCAGTATGTAAGCACATCTGATTATAATGCCAGGTGGAAGCCACCACAACCCATAAGGAAATAAAAGCCCTTTACATGCCTGCTTGTCAGAGACAAAATGCTAACTTGTGGGACAAATGGGAAGCTGCCCAAATGCAAGCGTGAAGGACGCAAACCATGACACAGAACGGTCCCAGGCCAAACCCAGTTTCCTCTCTCCGGAAAACACAACTGAACTATTGCTCGTAAGATGCGTAATGAGGGTTGGCTAACTTGTCTACATTGCTTAAACAAATCGAGTTCTTTATCTCTGCCAAGTGTGTCCATACACGTTGCACCCACACTTTAAAGCTCTCTCTCTGGATTTGATCTAATGCTAAGATTTAACTTGGTAATCTTGAGGGTTAAAAATTATATCCTCAATTATTCTTAGTATATGGAAAATCTCTCCCTGGGCACTTATTGCCACGATTCAGGGCCAATCACTTATCTTCTTTCTGCACCTCAATTTCCTCATCTTTATAGAGTGAAAATTTATCTCAATGGCTTCCAGAATGAAGCAGGACAACATAACCGGAAGTACGCTGCTCACTGTAAAATGTGACACAAATGTAAGGTATTATTTTGTTAGGTACTCATGAACTTACTGAGTAGGCCCTCAAACATTTGTTGAGAATCATGACAATAGTGCAATACTATAGATTTTCAAAACACATACTTTTTCCAAGGCATGAACTACTACCCCTCAAACTGATGCTTAGCACTGCACTCCCAGAACTTGGTATGTGGCCAACATATTTTTCTCAAATCAAAAAATATAAAATAAGAGGAAGTGTGCCAACTTGTCCCTTCTGAAATTGCTAGAAGGGTTAAATTAATCAACATGAAAAGAGTAAAAAGGAATGAATGCATCTAACAGTGGACTGGAGAATCTACATTCTCTCTGTTCATTTGCTATCTAGTTGAGTGCCTTTTATTTACTTATTTTTAAAATTTATCTTTATTGTTGAAAGTATTACAGAGGTCCCCTTTGTTTGTTGGGTTTTTTTTCCCCATTGACCCCCTCCATCCCGCACCCATCCCTCCCTACTGGAGTACCTTTCAGATGACAGGTACTAAGGATTTTAATTTATGTGGATTGAGGGGAGAGATTATATACACTTAATTTTGTAGGAATTAGGTGGGAAAAGTTTAATTCCCAGCGAACTATGGAATAATATTTTAAACATAACTAAAATAGGTTATTCTTCTATAGTTCCAAGGATCCTTTTCAGGCAAGGATTTAAAAATTTGTCTAAGACAATACATCACAGCAAACAATCTCCACCATGCAGGCCTGTTCACCTCAATTCTCATTAACATCCTCCACAGTCTATGAAAGGGCTAACTAACCCTTAGCTTAAACTTACACCTGAAAGGGCCACTCGGATGTTCAGCTTCTTTGCAACTCCTAGGTGATCAACTTATTGGGAGAGATCCAATTGCATTAAATGTGCACCTTTATAACAGTTTCTCTACCTCAGGATGAAAAAAAAAGACCTCCAGGAGTGCACATAAAGATACACACACAATACACACAGGCGGCTTCTGAAAAGCTGCACTTCTCCTAGAACTACCCTAGAAACTCAAGCTATGTGTATATGCCCAGATGTGTGTTTTGGAGAAGAATAAAAAACAAGCAAGACTTACTGGAAAAGTCCCTTGAGTGACATGCGTGTCTTCACAGTTATCTTTATGCGCAGTGGTCTATCTGAAACACCTTTTTCCCCATCCAGTTCCACAGGGACACTTCCTACCCTTTCTTCAAGATTCCATTCAAAAGCCTCACTGTTCTCCTCTCCAAACTTCTCCTGGTTTCACTGACCAAAAATAAGTCCCTCTCCCCTCACTGTGACCACTAGGCCACCACCGTCTCTCATCCAAACTCCCAGGGCTCCTACCAGATGCTGGTGTTACTTGTGGGCCTGTCACCTCTCCTACCAGACAAGTAGGAACTTGGCAAGGCCCTGTCTAGCCATCTGTATACAGTAGAGAAACTATAATGTTTCCAAACTTGAAATGAATCATGAGGTACAATCAGTACAGAGTGAATGAAGGGCAGTTGACCTTGACACTTCTGCTAGATTTTAACTCAGAAATCATACTTGGAAGACTGGTGTCTAGGCTCTCACTCCCCAAAGTCGGTTCCCCGGCCCTTTATGGACATCGCCGTGGCACGTGTCAGAGTTCAGAGTCTCTGGCCTCCTGTGGCATCAGAGCCTGCATTTCAACCAGAACCCATTCAAGGCGCCCCTCAGGATCTGAGAAGCATTCATGGAAGGTAGAGTTCCTCACTCTGCAGATGGGAGCGCGTCGGCAGGCAGTGATGCCAATGGAGAGCTGTGCCGTGAACACTTTTCAAACAGAAGAGAGAACACCAGCATGTGTCACACACTGTTTACAGTAAACACTGTTTTGTGAAATTTTAATTTTGTGAAACTTTTGTGTGAGTGTGTATGTATGTGCTTGTGAACCATTTCGCAGTGTTGCATGTGTTTCTTACTGTTGGTTATGATCTAAAAACTTTCAAAGCCACAAGCCCAGTAGGGATCTCAGAAGATCTTGGAGTCGCTGTGCAACGGTGCTGGCTGCCACAAAAGTTCCCTCTTTCTTAAATCTGCAGTCCTTGGGTAGCAGAAGGAATGCTGGCCTCCTTAGCACAAAACCCGAAACCCACGTGTTGGTGGTTAACAAGCTGAACTAACCAAAGGCTTAAATGTCTAGAAAGCAAGAAACTAAAACAAGGACATGGGTTTGTCACCAAAGAGAACCACTGCTGGTCACTGTCACCAAGCCGTGCTTGCGGCAGAGGCACCGACTAGCGCGTGGCGGCTTATTTAAGTAGAACAGAAATGAAAAAATCAATCAATCAATCGAACAGAAATGTCTAATCACAATCGCAGAGTCAGCTGGAGGGTGAAGTGAGGGCCAGGAATTTGAGCTGCATACTTCTCAGAATTCACAAACCCACTTCTGAGGTTTGCCCAATTTCAGTTATTTTTAATCCTGGAAAAGCTACTTGGGAAAGAAATCCACTGTGGCTTGCAGTAAATCCCATCTCAGTGGTCTGAGTGTGTGATCTCGCTTCTCTGTTTAGGGACTGGCATCTGCTGAGCCACATGAGACGTCTGTGTCATGTCTAACTGCGTGGCCAGCCTCCCCGGCACCACGAGGACTGGAACCACCAAACTTTCCTTGAGTGGAGGTAGGAGGCCTCTTTGTCCCTTTAGATAGGCCCTGTAGAGACAAGAGGAACAAGGCCTATTGCTGGCTCCTTAAGGGCATCGTATAAAGAAAAAGGTGCTTACTTTGTTGGTGTTATTTAACGTGCTAGACACGGAGCCGTCCAGATCCAGGCTGGCAGAATGTTCCGGAAGGCCTCTGGCTTTACTGCCCTACGTAAAGAAAAGGCAGTTGAGTTATGACCCCTGAGGCTTCTGCAAAAGCATCAGCTAGCTGCATCGTGGTTTCTGTAAGTAAAGTCAGGAAAAATGCATCTCCTGAGAAATGCTGCTAAGCACACGTATACATTAAGACAGCCAACATTTCTGTCTTCTGTTTGTTTAATAGCACACCAACCTAAATGCTCCAGAACACCGTGTGGATTAGTCGATTGGCAGTTTTAATAGGAAGGAAGAAGAGACTATTCATTTATGAATTGTCATTGTAACCCGCTGGCTGTATGACACTCACAACATTCTGTCAAAGACAGCCACCCACCCCCGGCTTTGTAAATGGACTGTTTTTAATTATGTCTAAGGATGCTGCAAAATTCTCAGAAGCATTTTCAAACGAAATAAAAATTAACTTTAAAAAAGTACAGCATTTTTTTAAGTGGGTCTGAAAATAAAAAAAGAACTGTAAGATGATGTTGCAAGCTCCAGAAAGGTTATCACACTTTGATTTCTGAGAAATGCCATTTATAATCACTGGGGGTGGGGGAGTGGGATTTCTTAAAGAACTCCCATATCAGTGCCTATGTAGACTTCTATTTCTATTCCTGTAGAGCTGCAGTCCACACACCTTTATGTAAAGGCCCAGAAAACAAATCTCTTACACTTTATGGGCCATGTGGTGTCCATGGCAACTACTCCACTCTGCACAAAAGCGGCCTCAGACGACCGGTGAGTGAACGGACGTGGCTGTGCCTCAATTACCCTCCACGTACAGAAATGGGAGGTGGGTGGTGTTTGCTCTGATGGCTGTAGTTTGCTGACCCTGCCTCAGAGTTCCAGGTACAAAACAAGAACTGCGGACAGAAGCTGGATTCTTACGTTGTACCAAGTGACACCAGGAAGAACGGAACCCACACTGGGTGCATCTTACCTGTGCCCTTTATAGGAACTAGCCAATGAACAGCATTTCGGGGAGAGACAAAAATTTCCATGGGATTACATATAACATAATACAAAAAATTTGTTTCACCCATGCCAGGTTAAAAACTGAAATTAAAGTGTAGATAACAATGTTGTAAGATTGAGAAGACATTAAAAAAGATTTCACCTTCTATACTTTATGATGCGCACAAAGTGAATAAAAGTAACAAATTAAATCAGACACTCTTAAAAAGTGACTTAAGTCAGGAGAAATTATGCTACTTACCCGGGACAAAATACTTTCCAAAGACTCCGCTAAAGATCTCTTCGCTTTGTTTTTCAGCATGTCGAGCTTAAGTCGCGTGGCACTGGATGGTAATTCGCTTCCAATATTCTCTGCTGCAATCTGTGTTGTCTAAAAAATGAAACAATGGAAAGTTGAGCCACAACTTCCTTTCTTTTTTCCTTCTTAAAGGAATGAAAAAATCTCTTGGGTGCATCTTTTTGACCCCAGGCCATTAGCCTACCCTCATCTCACCTGCTCCTCAGTGACAGGGCTACAAGTCCAGGAAATAGTTTTGCCTCAAAGAGTTGCTTTACCTGATCCAAACGGAACACAGAACTTTGCTCGGAAGCCATGCAGCAAAGCCGTTTAGAGCTTGTGCTCTGTAGTTGGAGCAGAGATCCGTCATTCACTACCCGGCCTTGTGCAAGTTACTTACTTTCTCTGGGTTGCCATTTCCTCCTCTGCAAATTGAGCCCAACCTCAAGATCTAATCATAAGGCTGTGTTGTGAGACTAAAACAGGTAGAGCCAGTAAAGCATGGGGCACAGCTTCTGGTACAAAGGTAGCCATGGTTAGCTTTTCAAAGTGAAGTAACAATTTACCTTTTGGGGCATTTTGGAGGGTAGGATAAAATAAGTTTACCAACTGAAGAATCCCTTCTGTCTGCCGATGCCAATGGTTCATTGCTTTCTTGAGAGCTGTCTTCCCTCCCACCTATTGTTTCCATCACCCCTTTCATTCTCCTCTGCCACCAGGCTTCTCTCCCTTAACTGACCATAACAGGAAACTGACAACATAATGGAGTTTGTTTGCCAACGACTAAGAGAAGTTTAATGTCATTTATTGAGAGAGGCAGATTTTTTAAAACCTACAAAATCCATAGATACATTGCTTCCTACTTCTCTGAGGTGTTACCTGATGGCTTTACACAACCCTGGTGCCCCTTTGGCCAACAACAGTGAGGGGTTTGGGCTCTGGCACTCAATGCCCAGGGAGATGCCTCCTTGCTCTCCGTCGCTATGTGGCCTCGGGCAGGTTACTATTACCTGCTGCCTCTCTCGGTTCCTCTACCTGCAGACGAGGATGCTCAATGGACTTTCCTCACGGAGCAGTTACAAGATTTAAATACATTAATGCACATTAAAGCACTTTCAACACACCTGGATCTCAGTAAGTGTCATTACTAGCTAGTCTCTCCATTTGCTTTCCACTTTTAATAGAAGAAAATGACAGACATATTTGAATCACTCTCCTTTACCTGCAGAAATAACCCCTCTTCTGAATTGGGTGTTTATCACATCAACTCACATTTTTGTACTTTCATAGATGTATGTAGCCATAAAACATGCATGTTGGTTTACATGTAGTTGAAGCTTAAATGAAGATATCATCCTGTGCATACCCTTTTATAATTACCATTTTTCTTTCAATGTTTTTTTTTTAGATTTCCATATCAACAAAGGTTCTTTGATTTACTCACTTCAATCAAAATGTATAATCATAGAAGTTTATTCATATTCCTGTTGTTAAACATTGACTCCCTTTTTTGCTCTTACAAAAGAGACTGCAGTAACCTGTCTTGTACATAGTTCCTTACCACACATGTGAACTTTTTACATGGAACTAGGGATGTCCTTGCTGGGTCACTGGGTCTATGCATCTTCAGCTGCACTAGATACTGTCAAATTTCTCTCCCTTAAAATGGTACCAATTCATACTCCAAGCATAGCAAATGAGAGCTCACCTTTACGTGATAATGTCAGATTTTTAAATTTCTGCCAGTGGCCTGGGTATGAATATCTCAACTTGTCTTCCTCTGATTCCTATTGTGATTAAGTTTTTTTTTTTTTAATTTAGTCAGTTATTTGCTGGTCAAAGACCTTACATCTTCTTTAACATAATGAAATCCTAATTCGCCAATGAATGTTACACATTTTTCAAAGCATAAGAGAGAAACGATTCTGATCAGAGCTCCATTTGGCTCTGTCCGGTCATCAGAGTTTTACTTCTGTGAGAATTAGCATGTGTTCAAAGAATGGCTTAGCTCAGAACTTCAAGAAGGGGGATTACCACTTATCTTCGTGTTTTCACTGAGTACACTGAGCATGCTCTGCACAACCCATACCTGCTTGCTGAGGAATGAATGCGTGAGCAATGATCAGCAGGCAGGCCCATGTGAAACACACACCTGAACTTACAGGTGCACTCAACAAATTCCCAGTGCCTGCTAAGCATCACGCACCATGGGCAGGTGCCTTACTTGCTGCAACTGGTCCTGTGCAATCATTTACCAAGAACAAGCGCCTGTCCTGACTCTCAGCAGCCTCCAGAGCAAAGGGGATTATCCACAGGGCCTCCTGGGACTGCCTTTGACTGCCACCTGTTCACTTACAAAGTTAAGAGATCGTGGATGTGCTTTCAAACCCATAACACGCGTTTTCATAAAATGGAAGCATTTAGAGTGGATTGTTGTTTAATATATTTTATTGATTTTTTACAGAGAGGAAGGGAGAGGGATAGAGAGTTAGAAACATCGATGAGAGAGAAACATCGATCAGCTGCCTCCTGCACACCTCCCACTGGGAATGTGCCTGCAACCAAGGTACATGCCCTTGACTGGAATCGAACCTGAGACCTTTCAGTCCTCAGGCCAACGCTCTATCCACTGAACCAAAAACGTCACGGCGATTATTTTTACAGAGAGGAAGGGAGAGGGATAGAGAGTTAGAAACATCGATGAGAGAGAAACATCGATCAGCTGCCTCCTGCATACCTCCCACTGGGAATGTGCCTGCAACCAAGGTACATGCCCTTGACTGGAATCGAACCTGAGACCTTTCAGTCCTCAGGCCAACGCTCTATCCACTGAACCAAACCAGTCACGGCGATTGTTGTTTTTTTTAATATTTTTTTATTGATTTCAGAGTGAAATGGAGAGAGATAGAACATCAATGATGAGAGAGAATCATTGATCGGCTGCCTCCTATATGACCTTCACTGGGGATCAAGCCTGCAACCTGGGCATGTGCCGTTGACCAAAATCGAACCTGGGACCCTTCAGTCTGCAGGCCGACAATCTATCCACTGAGCCAAACCAGCTACGGCTAGAGTGTATTGTTTTGATACATGAAGAAAACATTGGCTAAAAGCCTTGCCCTAACCGATATGGCTCAGTGGATAGAGCGTCAGCCTGAGGACACAAGGGTCCCAGGTTCGATTCCAGTCAAGGGCATGCACCTTGGTTGTGGACACATACCCAGTAGGGGGTGTGCAGGAGGCAGCTGATCAAAGTTTCTCTCTCATCAATGTTTCTAACTCTCTATCCCTCTCCCTTCCTCTCTGTAAAAAATCAATAAAATATATATATTTTTAAAAAGCCTAGTACTATGTAGCAGATGCTACACAGACAGAAGAAAACCTACACTTGTGTTTTTCTCCTTTTAAACCCGGCCGTAAGTATCTCCCTGCACTCAATGCTTCCATTCCTCTCCCACCTAATGAGAGGTTTTGTATGTCTATCATCACAATTCAAATATAGTTGGAAAATAATTCACATTTAGGAAATAATGCCTGTTTAGAAAGTAATTCATGTTCAGAAAATAACCCATTCCTTGTTTATTTTAAAATAAGCATCTAGAAGTTTCTCCCTTGAAGATGATGCTGGGGACACCCAAACACATCTGGGACCAGGGTGTCTTCTTTGCAGGCAGACATGAGTCTCCTGGGTGACAGAATGTTTAGGAGCCTCCAGAGAAAGTACTGCCCAGGCACTAGTTCCATGTGCTGAGGCTCGGTCTCTTTCACATTCAATTATCTGACGTTTTCACATGGAAAAAAACTATTAAATATATTTCTCCACTGGACTAATCTATGCCCAAATCATAAAGATACTACCTATTCCTTGAAAGTGAACTGGCACGAAGGTCAAAACTTTCCATCCACCCTAAGTGCTTTATTTCCCTCTAGCAGTTACAAATCATCTCAAAATTACCAATTTCCTGTTGGAACAAGTTAGGGGGGGAAAGCAATGGAAATAAGAACAAATAGGTTGAAAATGGAACTAGAGAATTAACTGAAAACTTAGATGGAGTGACCCATCCCAAAGTGGACAGGAGGCGCACAGAACTCCCACACCGTCTGAAGGGTGTGTGGAAGGGAGGGATGTCAACCACAAAGGTCAAAGGCCAAGGACACAGACAGTGTACTGGCATTCGCACCACCGCTGAGGGAGCCGATAGCTGGCCAATGAGATTAAAAACATTGCCAGACACTGTACGTGAGCTCTGAGAGTTCAGGAAGGTAGAAACTCAATGGGGAGAGCTGCTACGCGTGCATCCCAGTAAAACTGCATCATGGTGAGGTTACCAGAAAAGCAGGGGCTGTTTATGGGGCAGGGCACACGCCTGGGCGTTAAAGCGCCTTTAGTACGAGCATTGGTGTTTTTTTAAAAAAAGGCTATTATGTATTTTTGGAAAATTGAGTATTTGTTTTAAACATCCTTCACTGATTTTTCTCTAGATTTACTGGCCTACATGTAATTTAAACAAATATGAAATGCAACCGTAACCGGTTTGGCTCAGTGGATAGAGCGTCGGCCTGCGAACTGAAGGGTCCCAGGTTCGATTCCAGTCAAGGGCATGTACCTTGGTTGCGGGCACATCTCCATAGGAGGGTGTGCAGGAGGCAGCTGATCAATGTTTCTCTCTCATTGATGTTTCTAACTCTCTATCCCTCTCCCTTCCTCTCTGTAAAAAATCAATAAAATATATTTTTAAAAAATATGAAATGCATGTTTTGAAGCAATAATGGTTATTATGAACTGACTTCCACAGAATCCAAAAGACACACAAAAGTGGTCCATGGCACTGTGTGTACTGAACCCCAAACTGGCAGCTCCTCAAAGACAGGGACCCGCAGGCAGCGCCAGCACAACACAGCACCCCTCAAACAGGAAAGCCAAACAAAGCTGTGGACAGGAGCAGAGGGCGGCAGACTGGGCGCCTCCATTGTGTGAAAGGGGACCAATGGACGTTTCCCATCTGAATAGCACAGGACCAGGCTCTCTAGGGTTCTGTCTGGCTTTGCAGTGGTGCTAGCTTACATGCACACAGCCTGCATGCTACGAAGGCCCTCCACTCACTTCATGCAGCTCTGAAGGTGCTTTATGATGTCGCTCCCACTCTGCCAGGGAGAGAGGGGAGGTGGCAGAGGCTGGCTCCCTGCGATTGGGGAGCCGGTGGCAGTAGGTACTCTGAAACGTCACTCCACCCCCTCTATGGCGCAGAAACGTCTCACCGTCTCCAGCACAGTCTGAATATTCCCAAATCTTCCCTACATGTATAACAAATGCAAATAAAACACAGGGGCAAAAACAGCTTCCAGAGCTTCGGCACATCCTCAGGACTTTTTAACACCGTGTCCTGGTAAAATTATGAGAAGAGAAATAATGCCATACCTGCTTTACCTCCCCAGTATGGATGTGAACTTTTTGCTTCTCTTCATATAAACATCTCAGGAAAGAAATAACCAATTCATTCTCTCGCTGCTCATTTCTTGGCCTTAATTTCTTTAAAAAAAAGAAAGAGAAAAAGAAGAAGATATTACATTTATTTTTTATTGTCAACAAAACTGCTTAAATCATTCTTTTGGAAATGTTAACCAACTGTGTCCTTCCATTCATTAATTACTGTTTCTACCCAATCATCTCACTAGGGGGCACCAATGATCCCAAAAAGGGAGATAATTTTTTTTTTAAATATATTTTATTGATTTTTTACAGAGAGGAAGGGAAAGGGATAGAGAGTTAGAAACATCGATGAGAGAGAAACATCGATCAGCTGCCTCTTGCACATCTCCTACTGGGGATGTGCCCGCAACCCAGGTACATGCCCCCGACCGGAATTGAACCTGGGACCCTTCAGTCCGCAGGCCGACGCACCATCCACTGAGCCAAACCGGTTAGGGCAGGGGAGATAATTTTTTAAAAGAAACAGTGGAACTAGCTGGTGGGCCAGATTTAGCTTTTGCCCTCTGATGTCCTTAGGCCTAAAATAAATATTTCACATCAGATAGAGGCATAGTCAAAATATTTAATAAACAAATAGTCTTGAAAACAGAAGAAAAGAACAAAATCTGTGTAAACACCCAGAGGTCAAAGAGCCATCGTGGCTACACATTTATAAACTCTGATGGTTCGTGAAATGGAAAGAAAAAGAGCGACTGGGCCCAGGGTCATGGTTCCATAAGTCACATGTGTTCGTCAGCAAGCACTTTCTGCCACAAGGCATGAACTCACACACAAATGTCATGGCACTGACTCCATTTTTTTTTCTATTTAAAAAACTCTCTCCACATCCTTTACTTTTCAGGCAGGGTGGTGGCAAAGCACGGGAGCATGAATGAGGACCTGGAGGCCCGGTGTGCTGCCTGAACGTGTGACCAAAGGCGTGGTTTAATCTTAGCTTCCTCGTCCGTTCAAATGAAGCTGGTGGACGAGACACACTAACGGTCTCCGCCAGCCCCCAGTCTTCAGATTTGAAATAACCAGTCAGAGTTCATTTTTAAAAGACCATCCAACTTGCCCTGATTGGTTTGGCTCAGTGGATAGAGCGTCGGCCTGGGGACTGAAGAGTCCCGGGTTCGATTCCAGTCAAGGGCATGTACCTTGGTTGTCAGCACATCCCCAGTAGGGGGTGTGCAAAAGACAGCTGATCGATGTTTCTAACTCTCTATCCCTCTCCCTTCCTCTCTGTAAAAAATCAATAAAATATATTTAAAAAAAAAAAAAAGACCATCCAACTTAATGGCTTCTCTTCACTGAATATGAAGAAAACAAAGCTGAATTGCTCTGGAGATACACAAAACGTCTAGTCTATAAACTTCGGAAATGCATCTTTTTTAGATGAACAATTATCCATTGTCCGGCTCCTGGACCTCTCTCCCTACTCCAGACTTCTAGCCTGCCCTTTGAAGCAAAGTCGGGGTGCGATAAATGGACCCACTCTACAAGCATCCGAGTCTGGGTCGATGCTACTCTTAGCAACCTCCTCCCCCAGCTAACGAAGGAGCAATGATTTCACCCTTCATGCCATGGGCTTTCGAAGGAAAGGCAACACTAACCTAGACCTTCTGACATTTGATCTCTTAAAGAAAAAGGTCACTTTAAAAAATAAGTTGTTCCTGTTGCTCAAGGAAAATACAGTGAATAAGTAGAAGGGGTTTATTATTATTATTATTTATTATTATTATTGAGGACCTTCTATTCTTTCAAATTTCACATTTAAGGATTAAATATTTTAGAAGCTAGAACAGATGCTCCCCACCTGGATTCCAAGCCATGAACCTTGATGTTATAAAACTATACACGTTTTAGTCAACAAGTGGATTTCTCCAGGGGAAGGTCCCATCAGATCTTGAGTAAAGTGGTGGTGAGGACCACAATCTCAGCTTAGCCCTGCTGACCGAGGGAGGTAATGCGTACCTGTGAGTTTAAAAGCCCAGGAAGCTATCGCAACTCATTCGCTTTCAGTGGGAGTGGAAATGGCACACCTACTTTTAGAGACAGCTGGCAGCTTTTTACAAAACTAAACACACTCACATCATACAATCGAGTGATTGCACTGCTTAGAATTTTCCCCAATGCGTTGAAAATTTATGTCCACATAAAAACCTGCATGTAAATGTTTACAGCAGATTTATAATTGCCAAAAGTTATAAGCAACACAGATGTCCTCCTTCAGTGGATGAATGGATAAGCTGTTCCATCCCAGACAATGGAATATTATTCGGCACTAAAAAGAAAAGAGCTATCGAGCCATGAAAAGACCTACAGGAACCTTAAATGCATACTGTTAAGTGAAAGAAGCCAATCTGAAAAGACTATAGTCTGTATGATTCCAACTATAGGACAACGTGGAAAAGACGAAACCAGAGACAGTAAAAAGATCAGTGGTTGCCTGGGGTTTGGAGGACTGGAGATGGGGGGAGGAGAAAGGGAGGGACAGGCAAAACGCAGAGGAATTTTAGGATAGTGAAACAGTTCTGGATGATACCATAACGGTGTACACACATCTTTATACATCTGTCAAACCTACAGGATGTACCTCACCGAGAGTGAGCCCCGGTAAACTGTGGACTTTAGTGAATAATAATGCATCATCAATGGTAACAAATGTACCTCACTTAGGCCACATGTTATTAACAGGGGAAACTGGCTGGGGTGGGAGGCACAGAGGTGGGAGCTTACATGGGAACACTCTGTACTTTGCACCCAATTTACTGAAAAACTAAAACTACTCTAAAGAATAAAGTCCAGCCAAAGCCGGTTTGGCTCAGTGGATAGAGCATCAGCCTGCGGACTGAGGGGTCCTGGGTTCGATTCCGGCCAAGGGCATGTACGTGGGTTGCGGGCACACCCCCAGTAGGAGATGTGCAGGAGGCAGCTGGTCGATGTTTCTCTCTCATCGATGTTTCTGACTCTCTATCTCTCTCCCTTCCTCTCTGTAGAAAATCAATAAAATATATTTTTTTAAAAAAAAGAATAAAGTCCATTTTATTTTTTTAAAGTTCAGAAAAGAGGAGCAGAAAGGAATTACACGAGGCCCCTCAGCAGACGCAGGCAGCGAGGGCTGACCCACTCTTTCTTCTCTTGCATCTTTTAATGCAAACTTCCGGCTACTCTCACAAGAAAATGTCTATTTTTCTTGGAGAAATTCTTCATAATCATTATTTCAAAATATTAAAAAAAAGGCTAAGAATGCAGGAATAAAGAGCATTATGGATGCATTTTCTTTTCCTCAAAGGCTACATGCAAGGAACTATCCAAAAGGCCAGAAATGAGAGCTCAGCTGAGCACAGTTGCTGCACGTTAAAAACTGAAGCCGAGAACCAGAGACCATGCCACGGGCTCGTTAAACATCACAGAAAAGTCACTAGAGCAGGAAGCATGTTTTCATGGTGGTGTACAACGTCAAGAATACACCCTTCCTTAAAACAACACGGGTAGGGGCTACCACTCCATTGAGTTAAATGATCAGCAAGGTGTCTTCTCCCCCTACCTCCCACGTGACGTCACCATTTTCCCTCGTGACAAATCGTGGTTTCCTAAAGGTGGTTTCACTGTATAGACATTCATGGGTCAGAGAGACAAGTCAGAGGGGAACAGTGCGGAACCAAGCTGGGTCACATCACTTCTCAGTCAAAAATTAACTTGCTTTTGTTCAAAATTAATCTACGGTGTCAGGGGCCGGGGCAGGGTTGAGGAGTTGGCAATGCTCCCGCTTTGTTAAAATCTCGGTGCCAGTGCACAGGTGGGTCACCTTGTAAGAAATCCCCTGAACTACACACCACTGACGCATGCACTTTCCTCCAGTTATGTTATACTGCAGTGTTTACAACAACAACAAGAAAACAATGAACTGCCTGTGAAGTAACAAAGTCAACTTTGTTACCTGTGTCTTAACCTTATTCTATGAGGAGCCTACAAACTGGTGGTAAATGCAATAAAAGATAAATTCTCCGCGCTGACTGAGAACGCTGAGCGCTCCGGGCGCCTGCAGTCTTTGGAGCCAATGACTAAAAGCGGCCGCGCCCACTGGGACAGGACACTCTGACACCTTTTTTAAAAATGGCAATCAAATCCTGTAAGAAATCATTTTAAGACCGTAGGAAATCCAAAGGAGGTGATCCATTTTCTTTACAAAATGAAACATAGCTCTTCTACCCATTGGTCTTTAACTGGCGAAAAGCCGTGTTGTTTAGCCCATCATGGACACCTACTGAATGTACATCCGCTTGATTTATCTACTCAGGACGAGTGCAGTCATCCCCTGAAACACGGGCACTCAGATGAAGAGAGTTGGATCTGGAGACATTTCCTTCCCTCGCCCTCCCTGGGCCTCACCGCAGTTTCTCAGACTCAGAGGGCCAGCCTGGATGCGGCACCTCCGCCAGCAGGCGGCTGCTTGAGATGCCAGCAAGACCCTGGGAGTCACTGTCACGCCTGCCCAGTTGGATATGTTCGATATATTTCTTTAGTGATGACTGTGCCACTTCACTTAATACTACACATTTCAAACAGACCACAGACAGACATGTGGCTGGCTGTGCAGTGTCGTCAGGAGCCCCAGAGAGAGGAAGGCTAGCAGGCCCCAGCGCCCACTGGCCCCAGGTCGGCGTGTCTGCAGCAGTGATCATCTCCGGCACCCTCTGCATGATAATCACTCCTCTCTCTGTCTTCATGGTTCTGTTTGGGTTGCATTTTATTTTACATTAAGCATTTATTTACAAAAACATGATTGTGTAAGCTTCAATAACTATTTAGGTGATCACGTGCCACACATTTCAATAATACTAGTAATGGCACTGGTCTTATGGAAGTGTGCGTGGGAGAGTTCTGCAGAAACAAACCACCTCCAGGAAGGACTGTGTGGAGGAAGAGATGAGCCACCCTCCTTATAAGAGGACTCGTGACCCCACAAAGCACCTTCTTCTTTATGAAGTTTTTGAAACGTATGATTTTTCAAACACATCAGCAGGCACTGCTGCCTAAAAAGAAACCAATGACGTGGTTTGTAAAATGTTTTACAAAAACTACAAATGGGCATTGAGGAAATAATTCAACAAGACGATCAATAAGCCATTAGACTGAAGAAGAGATCATGTCAAATTCATATCATTCAAGGAAGAGCCACGCATACACTGACGGAGGACAAAGTCTGAGCTGGCTTTTGTAACCCATGACTTCCCTTTGATATTTAAACCAATCAAAAAAACTAGTCTTCTAGGGGCCTTAGGAGATTAACTGAGTACACTATTTTTTAAATGTTTTTATTGATTTTAGAAAGAGAGGAAGGGAGAGGGAGAGAGAGAGAGACGGCCTGTGCCCTGACCAGGAATGGAACCAGCGACCTCTTGGTGCATGGGACGACGCTGAAGCCACTGAGTCACACCAGCCAGGCTAACTGAGTGCACTTTTTAAAAGTAAAACTGTGTCACCACTTTTCTCTACAGCCTCTTTGCCATATGTACTCAGTGTCTCAAAACTTGTGCAGGTCAAAGAGAATCTCAAATTATATCCATTAGACACTTCTCATTGCTGCAGAAAAAAAACATGGGAGCTTCCTATCCTGATGCATCGCACTGTTTGGGGGAAAGCTACTTACACAGTGATGTCTACATAAAGAAAACTCACACCAGGGAGGAATATGTCTCTTCTACGCTGGCTGGCAGGATGCTCCCCAAAGTGACTTGATAGCACTTTGTAAGTGCATTAATTATCAGAAGCAAATTACCACCCATTCACCCATTTACCCATTGATGAACTCCACATGCAAATCACATTCAATCCGTCTAACATACTGTGTACTTGGAACTCTAAAGATCCGTTAAGGGAAAGCAAATTGGTGTGTCTCAAGTGGACTCGGAAGAAAAATGTAAAGCCAATTAAAAGTCATGAAGATGCCATCCTAAGCTATGTACGGAAGTTAGAAATCTTTCTGTGCTTTCCTTCTACTACATATGCCAGCCTTACAGTGGGAGGAGCGCGGGGATAAAGAGAACTTTAACATGTGGTTACTTTTTCACACTCACAGGAAACAGACCATGGGCCCTAACCGTTGGGCCTTTCCCCCAGCGAGGAGGGAGGCTGGAGCCTTCTCCTACGGTTTAACGACCCCTCTATTCACAGGACCTCTGCCGCTCTCCTCCCCCTCAAAAAGAGATATTTATTCTTTGTTTTGATGTGCTTAACTCCCTAGAAAACATGCCAGAAAGCCACAGAAAATGCCCTGGGCCTCAGCAGACATGACAGTTCTGATGAGCTCATTAAAGAGTCAGAATGAACAGGTCACGGGCGTGCAGGCACACAGGGCGTGGTTTCCCCAAGACACGTGGCATCGAAACGCAAGGACGGGAGCGGGTCTCCGGGTTTAATGCAGAAAGCCCCCAAACTTGATTTTTCTGTATTTTGTTTAGATTTGACATAGTCTACTGTTCTAAGGAGACAACATCATCTACATTTATTTAAAAAACTAAAAAAATAATAAGAGAGGAGGAACAATTAATGTTCAACGTCATGTAGAAAACGGCATCTCCTGCAACTCCCTACTGGGAGCCAAACTCCGCAGAGAAGGGAGGCAGAGGTTTCCCACGGAGCAGAGGAGCGCTCAGGGACGAAAGTCCAGGTCCCTGTCCCCGGGCTGAGGTTCTTCCACTTTGTAGTTTCTCTCACTTTGAAACGGTATTTTTATGAGAGCACTCCCCCCTCACCCCACCCCCGGTTTTGTTGTTTTCACTCGAAAATCAAGATGTGAATCTGCAACTCCGACCTGGCCCTTCCACGGGGCTGTTCCAGCTTAAACCAAGCGGAGTTGGGGTCACTTCCCAGGGACCATGACAGCTCTGGTCTCCTATTGCTCAAAAATGACATTTCACAAGGGGCTGCTGCCTCTTCTTCCCGTAGCGAAAGGCCTGCTCCCACTGTACCTGCACCTCCTCAAAAACCATTGCTTGCTCCTGATTGGTTAACGTTGTCAGGTGCTTCTGGAGTTCTAGTTTGGTTTTAGAAGAATTCATTCCTATTAAGAGAAAAAAAAAAGAGTGATGAAAACACGTAAAAGTTATGAGGTAGAGTCAACACTCCTATACTCATTCTCTTGACATTCTACCTACCCACTGCAGGCCTTCAAAATTTTATGGAAATCCTAACCAATAAAGTTGACAATGGCAATGACAACAACTAATAGTTTTTAATTGAGCCCTCAATGGACCAGGTACTGTCTTAAACATCAGGCCTCCATCATATCATTCCATGCTCTGATGAAGAGGGTTTTATTATCCCCATTTTACAGGTAAGGAAACTGAGACCCAGAGAGTTTATATAATTTCCAAAAACCACAACCTTGACTCTACCTCAGGTCTATGTAATTCCAAATTACTTTTTGGCCACTGCTCCATGTTAAAACCCCTCACACAATCAGAACATTGTCCTCAGAAAACAATAAATTCTCAACCTGGCCCGGTAGTTTAATGGCTAGAGCGCCATCCCAATATGCCAAGGTTGTGGGTTCGATCCCCAATCGGGGCCCATACAAGAATTAACCAATGAATACATAAATAAGTGGAACAACAAATCGACGTTTCTCACTCTCAATTTTAAAAATTAAAAAAAGAAAATGATCAATTCTCATGAGTATTTGCCCTCAACATCTTTTCTTAAGGAAAAATAACTACTGCTCCATTTGAAAACTGACCAACATATTTCTCTTGCATGTTATACTCCCACACATAAAATTGAGTCATGTGACTACTTTCCTCTTACCACCACATGCTTATTAATATTCTTAGGACAATAACCATTACAGAGGATTCTGAGAAAAAGTTATAAAAATAAAGCCATAGTTTTAGTGCCCATTAGTGTCTAATACTTCAGAACGTTCTTTCTCCACACAGACATGGCTCAGACCCTGTTTTGCCTTTTCTTGGTGCCAGAGATAAATGTTCCACACGATGAGATTTAGGATGAAATGAAAACAACCACTGCGCTATGTATAGACATACCTCGTTTCACTGTACTTCACTGCCCTCTGACGATATTGCATTTTTACAAGCTAGAGGTTTGTGGCAACCTCCAGCAAGAAGATTACAACTTGCTGAAGGCTCAGATAATGGTTAGCATTTTTTAGCAATAAAGTATTTTTAATTGAGGTATGTACATGTTTTTTTCAGACATAATGCTAGTATAAAATATAGTGTAAACGTAACTTCTATATGCATGGGAAACCAAAAAATTCGTGTGACTCGTGCTTTTACTGTGATATTTGCTGTATTGTGGTGGTCCGGCCTGAACCCGTAACATCTCTGAGGGATGCCTGTGCTTTTATTCCAAGGATGACGCTCTCCTTATCCACCTGCCACTCTGTTCTTCTCCCAAGAGCGAGCCCCCGGCAGGCGTCAGGCCTGTCCTCCAGAGCCTCAGAGCCATGGTGCACTGATACAGCTAAGAGGGGACACCTCGCAAATCTGGAAATCAGGCCAGTTTCACAGGTGAGCTTGCTGGGGTCTAGAGAAGACAGGCGACTTGTCCAAGGTCAGGAGCCAACAGCAGCCAAGCCTGCCCCAGCGCCCCTCCTTCCTGCGGCCCCTGCTCACACTGCTGCAGCCACCTCAGCTTCCAGGAAGTCCCTCCCACCTTCTTTTGCCAATATTGCTGTGCCACTTCACTCAATACCACATGCAAAATCTCATTTGATCCTCAGAATAATCCTTGGAGTGGGCACTATTTCTAGTAATAAAGGTGTAGATGGAGAAACTGAGGCGCGGTGAAGTGAAGTACAGTGGGGCCTTCACTTACGAGTGTCCCGACTAACGAGTTTTTTGAGATACCAGCTGTCTCTCGGCCGATTTTTTGCATTGAGTTGATAGAATAATTTGAGTTAACGAGCTCCTTAATGAGCTCGGTCTCGGAACGAATTAAACTCGTAAGTCAGGGCCCCACTGTATTCTGTCCAAGGTCGTCAGCTAAGTAAGGGACAGAGTTAGAGTCTGAGCCATGTCTGTTTGCCTCCGGGAATCACTCTGAAACCCTCGCTGCCTCCCTTCTGCCCGGAGAGTCAGGTGGTCTGACACATGAGGGCGTCGATACCAAGGGAGTCAATTCACAGGTGGGCAAGAGCGCAGCAAGGCCAGGTGGGTTTTGTCAGAGCAAATTCAGGTGCTTCCCTGGCAAGATGTCAGGTCTTAGAAGGCAGGGAGACAAATAGTTGATTTTACTGTTGGTGTTGAAATTCACAGTAACATAAGCTCTCACTAATCATTAACCAACACTCCTCCTTGCACATGGAGATGTCTCGGACAGTGTCAGCTTCCTAGTCTGGACACACTGTATTGTTTGCTGAGACATCCCCAGGTGGAGAGAAACCCAAGCGCTAAGGAGTTGGACTAATCGTACGCGTCTCGCAGTCTTCGGTGAAATCACGCAGGGAGACTGGTCCTCATACTCAGCAGGCATGAGGAGATCCTTCGCCAAGTTTCACCCTTGTCTTCAGGATGCCTTGGCGCATTCAGTCCTTCCTGCCCAACCAACTCAAAGCAGAGGGGCCCACCACGGTCTGCCCGTTTACCCACACCTTCCCCCCCACACCTTCCCCATGGCTTCGCACCACCTTCAGCGCCTCCTGGTGGTTTCTGCAGCGAGGTGGCGCACTCCCCACGTGATGCCAAAGGCTTTAGATGGGGAAAGGGAGGCAAGGAAGAGGTAACCAGAGTCAAGGGCAGTCCCAAACCACAACCCTGCAGCCCCCATGGGGCGCCCGCCTTCACACTGTCACTGCGGAAAAGGCTCTCTCCCAGGAGCTCTGACACATGGCCTGGCTCAGCCGAGGCGAGTTCGCTTAGAGTCAAAGGGAAACCTCCGTTCACCTGTTTTTCTTTTTAGTGAAAGCACAATTCATTCTAGTAATTCTGAAAATGCTCCTCTAAACTTTAAGATAAGCAAAACACTATGTGAATCCTATGAGCAGTGGCCCATAATTCAAATCCAACCCGAGCACGCCTGCACCTCTCACGTGTTGTAAGTGCACCGTAGAGTGGTGTGGCCAAAGTCGTCAATGTGTACTGTATATTTATAGTATTTTATTTTATTTTTATTTCTTGTTAATTCTTACCCAAGGTTATTTTTCCATTGATTTTTTAGAGAGAGTGGAAAGATTGGGAGGAGACAAGAGAGAAAGAAATATCGATCTGAGAGACACACTTCGACTAGCTGCCTTCTGCATGCACCCCGACGGGGGCCAGGGATCAAGCCTGCAACTCAGGTACGTGCCCTTGACGGGAACAGAACCCAGGACCCTTCAGTCCGTGGGCTGGTGCTCTATCCACTGAGCAAAACTGGCCATGGCTATTTATTGTATTTTATACATTCCGGGGCATAACGTGGCTATATCCGTTAACACAACGCAGTCTCAAAGTCTGTTGTTTTTGTGGCCATGTCATTGGTCCTCTCCACAGTTTACGGAGTCATTGGCCAAACCATATGTTCCCATTAGAACTGCTCTTATGGGAACATGAGAGCATGAGCTTTGATAAACCACTCACTTCCTTGTACTGATTAGAATGCAACAGAGCAAATAGCAAGGGCCTCCGACTGTTCATAGAGTAATGAGCCCCTCCCCTGCGGAGGACGCCTCTAACGGTGCCCTCTGCACTCCGGAAAGGTGCCCATCATGCAGGCAAAGCATACCTTCCCCAGCCTACGCGAGGGATGTTTACACATCAGCATGGCTTCCTGCTTTACTGAGATTTCATCAGGTGAAAGATGAATTAAATGATAATTCCCAAACCTCAGCGGCAAAATTCCCACCAAGTACACTTTTCAGCTGTAACGTTCTGAAAGCTAAGCCAGACCAAGGAAAGCTTTACCCTAAGTCTGGAACCCTTCCAGTGCCTACGATCACAACCTGCTTTATCTTCCAGGCCAAAGTCACTGCGGGCCCCTTAGCTCTGAAGGGGCATTTCCATCACCGTTCACCTTATCTTGAAAACCACCAAGGAAAGGGTTATGATCCTCTCAGATGGGATCGCTAGTTAATCCCAACGTCTCTTGTTCCCAGATATGTTTCGTATAATGTTAGCAAATAGTAACAACCAGGAACACACAGTAAGAAATACTAATCATTTTGATTCGTTTTAAAGAGCACTATAATGCCAGAAAATGAAACTTCAAAACCCTTAAGATGAAAACTGTCCATTTATCTCACTTAAAAGGGGAAATCAATACCACTCCACACCCATTGAGGTGCTTATCAAAAAGAATAAAGCAAAAAGCAACCAGTGTTGGCAAGGACGTGGAGAAATGGCTGATGGGAGTGTAAAAGGTACGGCCACTATGCTCGATCACACGCACCTGGCACAGTCCCTGACACATGGAACACATTCCCTGCGCCAGACAGCCCAGTGTCTAATCTACGGCTCCATCGGGAGGAACCTGTCAGCGAGTGCAGGTCTAGCCCCCCCGGCCTTCACCTCCTGCGGAAGGGGCCCTACTCACCCTCGATGCGCTCGCAGAGCTTGTGCAGGCCCTGCAGGGGGCAGCCCTCGCACAGCTGGGCGGGCGCTCTCGTCTGCTGCACCGCAGCCACCGTGAAGGCCTGTTTCAGTGTCATCATGATCTCATCCACCTGGTCAGAGAGGAGAGAGACGGTAGCCAGCGAAAGGTCCACTTAGCGTGAGCGGGCTCCGCATTCGGGACTCTGCGGGAAGACTTAGTATTTTATGAGTTTTCTGGACCATGAGTCACAGGTTGGCAGGTAACAGTCATAACTGCTAGGATGACTGACCAACTGAGAAACACTGCCTAGATCAGCAGTTCTCAACCTGTGGGTCGCGACCCCTTTGGGGTTTGAACGACCCTTTCACAGGGGTCGCCTAAGACCATCGGAAAACACATATATAATTACATACTGTTTTTGTGATCACTATGCTTTAATTATGTTCAATTTGTAACAATGAAATTGGGGGTCACCACAACATGAGGAACTGTATTAAAGGGTCGCGGCATTAGGAAGGTTGAGAACCACTGGCCTAGATGCTCAGGGCTCTTACAGCGGATACGAGAAAAACTAAAAGCACCAATTAGTTACGGAGTGAAGAAGCCAATTCCTCTGATCAAAAGTCCAAAATGACATTTTAAAATTGCTAAACCAGGGGGTGCAGGTGAGCCAGTTCTTAAAAAATAATGAAAACGGAAAATGCACACCCAAGTGAATCTCAGATACGTGCTAATTAAATAGTCATGAAAGAATAGTAAAGCCAAATAACAATATGTCAATGAGACTGCGGTTTTGCGAAGGAAAGAAAAATCTGTGAGGTTGAAACTCCTCGTCGCTAAGGGTTCCCGTGAGCGCTGCCCGGCCGGCTTACCAGAGCCTCGTTTGTGCACTGAAACACGTAACAGACGAAATGGAAGCCGCCGCCTCCCGACGCCTCCCGGCAGATGAACCCGAAGTGGTCCACGTGTCTAATGCCCTGTCGGAGGTGGGAGAGAGGAAGGAGTGTTGAGCTGAATCCGAAAGAGGCATCGCTGCCAGGAAGGCAACTGCCAATTTACACCACGCCACGTGAAAGGGCACCATCACGCTATTATTTCAGGTAAACATCTAAAAACCCCTCTCAAATATGATGGTGAACACTGTTCTTCTCAAATGCTACTCTGATTACTCCCACAATAAGATCTCACAACTGGAGTTTTTAATGCTCATTTTAGCACTAAAAGGAAGGAAAGAAAAGTTGACACAGAAAAATGAGAATTTTTTGGAGGTATTAAAGAATAAAAAGCTACATGGAAAATCAAAAGCAGACCACAGATTAATGAAGGGACACAACCATACACACACATGCACACACACGTACATACATGTACACATGCAAACACACAGACACAAAGGTTAAAAGATTCAAAAACGTGCGTGTACTTATACAATAAATGGGCAAATACTGAAGTAAACTGGTATGAAGAAGGAGCCAGAAATTATAATCACAAAGGAAAGAGAAGCTTTTAAACATAAGATGTTAAGGCCAGGGCTCCGTCGTTGTTTTTAAGAGCCCTTTCTAATAAATATTAATATCTAAACTTGTTTTGAACGTATCACCTACGAGGCACCTTAATACAGAGAAGACATGGTCCATAGACATTCATGTGTGGGGTCTCCTGAGAGCACCCGCCGGCGGAGGTCTGAGTGCCGACCGTGGGAAGGTCAGGCGATTACGTAAACTTGAGGAAAACATAAAACCATCACGTGAAAAAGCCAACATTAAGCATTACCATCTCCATAGAAATAGCAGCAAATCAAGATAAAAGTTCTGCGGAGAATCTCACATTCGATCAGATGTTTTCTGATCCGTGGCAATCAGGGACTGGCTGGCTGCTCAGTGCTCTCCAGCAGCAAGTGCAGCACATGCTAGAGGTTCCTCCTCGGGGGAACAGGGTTTGGAAAAACTGTTCCTTTGTAAATGGTCCCCTATTTGATCTATTGAGGAACAGTCTTTAGTTTTACATTTTGGGGGGAAAAAATCCCTTTGAAGCCTTAAGGAGATCGTGTTATAAATCAATAAACAATCAGATCTTCATCATCTTATTAAGAGAAAATGGAAGTGAGGAAATGAGAAGTCAGAGTTTAAAAAGTCGTCACAGTATCTTGAGTGACCTCGTAGTTGTGAGGAAGATCCTGAATAAAACTGGCACAGCTCATTTATCACTGATCGATCCTCCAGAATCTACGGAACTCGCTGGGAGATTACCAAGAAAGAACTCAAGTAGACAGTATCCTGAACAAAACATCCTCAAAAATAACCGCTGTCTATTCTATTGTGAGAAAGAAGAAATCATGTTATTGGTACCCAATAAAGTTATTACGTTTGTAAAGAAGAAATAAGTACCTATTTAAAGATATGTATGAATACACACACACACACACACACATATATATATACATATGTATATATACACATATATACATATGTATATATATAAAACGTGCCCACAGACATACACATACACACATGAGAATCATCTCTTGGGAATATTACCGCCAATAATTGAAAAAAAGAAAAGTAGACCTATTTTCTCCAGTAGGTTACTGTTTCTAAAAACAAAATCCTTAATTTCGAAATTACATTCACATTTTGCCTTAACATATCCAAGGAGGAAGAAATGCAAGAACACAAATCAAGTCCTTAGAACACAGACATCTTGTGACCTTTAGCACTCCCGTTGATGGACAGATGTGGAAATAATTCAGTAAAAATTCCATTGCAATTGAGCCGACAACCCATCTGAGCTTACCTGAGAGCAGAAGGATATCTCCTTAAAATTTTTCTCCAATGCTATCTTTTTGGTGTCAGGACTGATGAGGTAAACTTCAGATTGACCAATCTTAAAAGACAAACAAAAAAAGCAACCAGCTTCTCATGAAAGGTGAATTCAAATGTATCTCACAAACTTTCTCATTTCATGACCCATGAAAATAAAGGATAAAAGGGGCAAGCGTCTATAATATTCTGACTATCTCACCATGTAAAATCGCTTCCAAGGCTGTCATTTAACCTACGGGTTCCGGGTAGCTCAGGACAACTGAGCGCGTTCGCCTACGTTAGACAGCGGTCCTCCGTGCGATGGAAGAACCACATATCCAAAGTCAGCAGCAACGCGTCAGCTCCTACGTAAGTGAATCTCCCAGAAAACAGAAACTGTCTTTTAAAACGTCCCAAACAGTTTACTAATGACTTTTTTTCTATGTCTTTTAAAATTATTGTTAATATTCCTGTACTGCGTAGCAGACTTTGTAAAGTTAGAGCATTAGCACAACTTAGCACTGTCTTACTGACGTGAGTCAGCACAGCAGACTCCGCTCCAGGACTGAGCCGCCATGGCCACCTGCTGCCTGTGCTCCGTCCCTCCCCCGGGGCCTCCTCTCCTGCACCTCCCTGAACCCAGGACGCTCTGCGGGTTGTCCACACCGAAACCTCTGCTCGGTGAGAGTCACCTCCTCAAAGAAGCTTCCCGAACCCCACAGGCCCCCCGTTGTTGGTCTCTCTTTCCAGAATCTAAACTCCACGTGGGCGGAGACCACGTGTCTTGTTCACGGCTGTATTTCCGGTGTATTGCAAGGGACCCTGTGTGCAGTGGACACACAGTAAGTACTTGAAAATAAATGCACGGAGCAGCTTTCCCAATGACTCCAAGAGAAATTTTTCAAAAATACAGATGAAAGCACAAGAGTGACTGCAAGCAGCACCCTTCAGTACATAGGTCTGTGATGCAAACGGGAAGAAGTCAGCCCTGTGTTCCCTGACTCACTCTCTTGATCGCAAACCTGCATACAGCCAGCCAGCTCCTTACCCCTCAGTCATCTCACTGCCCTGGGTCAGGTACAAGAACAAGACAGGACAGATAAGGTAATTCTGCTCAACCTTCAGTCAAAGGAACAACAGAGAGGGGGGTCCAGGAACGCTCAGTTCTCTCCATCTTCAGAGGCCAGCTCCCTGCTGGGACAGCTCCACCCCCATCAGCTCAGACCCAGGGGACTCCCAGAAAGGACAGCCCATGCAGCAACCCCACCTGCTCGGGACAGCCTCCCTGCCAATTCCTTTTCTGCCGTTTGGCCCATTATCAGTTTACCAAACTTCTAGAAAACACTGAGCAGGCCATTGGCTGAACTAACATTTCAGTTTAGGTATAAATTTCAAATATCACGTCATCTCCAAATCCAATTACCCTGCTTAACAAAGCATAAATGCTTTATACATTAATAAAAATACCAAGGAAGGAGTATTTTCCAAAAAGATTTTGTTGAAACAGATGACCTGAAATTACTATACATTTTTTAAAATCCCTTTCTGGGCCTCTTTTACACATATTAACTGTGTTCCTTCCACATTGAAAAGTTATCTTTATAAGCATGGTTGGGGGAGATAAAAATTATACAAGAAAATGGATTCTCTTTATCCTTCCCCTTGATGACTTTAAAGGCTTAGGACTCAAGCAAGGACTTTATCCTGAGAAAAGAATTATTGAGGATAAAAATACATGGATTCCACATAAATCCAAAAGCAATGTACTAAGCTTCTTCACTCAATAAAGAAGATTTGCTTATCTCAAGACTGGGGATGACCACGAGGCTTGGTGATGTTTTACCGTAAAAAGCATAGTTCGATTTTCCTCAATATCCGTTGGCTGCACAATATTGTGTCCACTGATGAGGTGGTTCTCAATGTCGTTTTCATCAAAAGAGCTGAAGAAACTGTGACTCCGCAGGTTCCCATCCTGAAACTCCTTCCTGTAGGCCAGGGAGCGCAGGCCGGGCTGCGAGTAGGACTTGCGCATGGGCCAGCGGCCCTGCTCCGTGGGCCCCGCGGGCTGCAGCACCGATCGGAACTTATCCGTGAAGGAAAGCGCCGCAGCAGGGCTGCTGGCCTCGGAGTTCTGGGAGACCAGGTCAAGTTCGGCTTTCCTGCTGCAGCTGATGTGGTTGAACTTCTCAATGCACTCGTCGATCAGGGCCGGCGGCGCCTTCTTGTGCGCCACCGTCACCCGGCCGCAGAAGAGCACCTCGAACTTCTTGGAGAACGTGTCGTCGAACTCCGAGGGGCAGTGCAGCTCCTCCTGGCGGGCGATCCTCCCGGCGTGGCGGATGGAGCTGATGATCTCGGGCACCTGCCGAGAGAAAGGAGTGTTATTTGGAGCACGCAGTAGTGGGCACTCCCAGGCACAAGGAGCCAACACCGTGCTCTCCCCCGGCTTCGCTGCACATTCCATCCCAGGGCACCAAAGGAGGATCCCACAGGAATCTGTCCACTCCTTTCCTGGCACTTGTCTGTCAGTGTACCGACCTTCTAGAAAAAGAAGTCTGCCCTCCCATGGGTGCAAAATACACAACTTTCACAGGGAAGAGATGAGGAATCCTACATAATAAAAGCCTAATATTCAAAGTGTCCAGGCGTTCGTTCAACCAGTCGACCAGTCGCTATGACACACACTGACCACTAGGGGGCAGACGTTCCAATCGGTAGGTTAGCTTGCTGTTGGGTTCCGGCAGATCGGACTGGGTGAGACAGGCCGGACATGCCCTGGACCCCTCCACGGCTCCTCCCTGGCCTAGTTGTACACCAGTGGGGTCCCTCAGCCTGGCCTGCACCCTCTCACAATCTGGGACCCCTGGGGGAGGTCAGAAAGACAGTTTTGGCCCGAACCCCACAGGCCAGGCCACGGGTGCAAGACTCCATGCACCGGGCCTCTAGTAGTATTTATAAAGCACCTCTTACATCTGAGGGGCTACTCTAGAAGATTCACACGCCCACACCCCACAGGGTTAAGTCAACTGGCCCACGGATGCACAGCCAACGTGGCTAACCTTGGATTCAAACCCAGGCTGGTGCCAGTGCAAAGCCAAAGGTCCTCTCTGGAGAAGCCGTCACCCCCTGAGAGTTTTGTCTCCAATGCAGCTCACCAAAACACTATGCAGCGACTCTAGATCTCGTGGCAATGTACCTGGGAAAGCTGCCCACAATAAATGGCTGGGATGAGGATGACAAGACTGAAATAATCTTATAAAACATGTCTTCAAATCACTTTCTTCAACAACAACTAACAATTTACTGCCGAGTCCTGTACCCCCTAATAGTTGAATAGTATTAAGTGCAGAGCGTGGAGGTTTTAATCAAGGAGTAAGCAACCATGGCGGCATCATTATCACAGCAACACACTGGGGCTCCCACTCACGGAGATGCCCAAGCCTTTAGGTTCAAGGTAAAGTCACGATCGGAGAATGAACAAAATGCTCTCGTGTGCTACTGCGGTCCCGACTGCTACACCCTCTCCTCAGTAGCTTGGTCGGGGCTCAGAGCAGCAGGAGGCGGAGGAGGAGTCTGCAGCCGCAGTGGTAGGTCTGTGCGATCAGCCACACACTAAACAAGACGGGCATGATTCAACCTCCCATAGGAAGTGCCTACTTATTGTCATGACCTAACACCCAAAGAAATTTTTTTTCACTTTTTTTCTGTTAGATAATTCAATTTAAAGTCCAATACCCATTGGCCCAATGTCTTTTTTAAAACATTATAGGGAAGGAAAAACAACAACAACACCTTTTCAATTTAGGTCAAAGATCAATATAATACAGTAAATGGAGGTGGTTTTAATAGATTTTAAAAGTATGCTTATATTCTGGGTTCATGACATAATCCCTTAAAACTCAAAAGATTTTTTTCTCTCTGTGATTTCATATCAAGCACATCTTAAAGACAATCTCTCTACCGTAAAAGATTATGATATGTCATTTCAAGGTATTTTATCATATAAAGAGTCAAAATAGCCCTAGCCAGTTTGGCTCAGTGGCTAGAGCGTCAGCCCGCAGAGTGAAGGGCCCCAGGTTCAATTCCGGTCAAGGACATGTACCTCATTTGCAGGCTCGATCCCCAGCCCTGGTGGGGGCACGTGCAGGAGGCAACCAATCGATGTGTCTCTCTCATATCGATGTTTCTCTGTCTATCTCTCCCCTTCCCTTCCACTCTTTCTTAAAATCAATGGGAAAATATCCTCGGGTGAGGATTAACAACAACAACAACAAAAAAGTCAAAATACCTTTAAGGATATTTTAAAAATTGATTATGAAGTATAAAGCCTAAATGATACCAAATAAGGTGAAATGTCAACAGACATCAAGCATCTGTCTGCACTATTTGCTTGTGCTGTAGCTCACTCTTCAGCTCTACCGCTAAGTAATTATACATCGCATGGAGGCCTCAAAATTGTTCATCAATATAAAAAAGGCAGGACAACAAGAAGAAAGAGGTAGGGAGTCGAGGTTTCATTCACACCTTTGCAAACAAGTCACCACAAGACCTCAGCAACATCAGCCTCAGTTTCTCTCTTTGAAAAAAAAAATGCTTATTAAGATTTTTCAGTTAAAAGTTGTATCTGTGAAGTAAACAATAAAGATGTTTTTCAAAGAAAAATAACCAACTTATGCAAGTCAGGAACCTTGTCGCTTTTCTGAGCAAGTGTGTGGAATTATTTTATCAGGAGTCACATGAGTCTTCCCAATTACTAACCCTTCTCTCTGAACAGAACATTCAAAGCTTACTCAGTCTTTTGAGGTTTGTTAAAATTACTGACATTTCTGGCCCTAGCTGACTTGGCTCAGTGGATAGAATGTCGGCCTGAAGGGTCCCGGGTTCGATTCCGGTCAAGGGCACATGCCCAGGTTGCGGGCTCGACCTCCCACTGGAGGGCATTCAGGAGGCAGCCAAACCATGATTATCTCTCATGATTGATGTTTCTGTCTCTCTGTCCCATATATATATATAATTGACATGTCTACTAGTAGTATATGCTGGTCACCCAGTGCATCTGGAGTGAGTAATGTGTCTTCCATTATGTATCAAAAGGGGAGAGAAAATGTGTGAAGCCACATGCGTTTATGGTGACTCAGTAATAAGTGGCACAGACACAGTAAGACACAAAGCAGAGGACTTGGCTGTTCCCGCACTTCGCAGGGGCAGAGGGGCTGTAAAGAGATCCTTGTGCCTTGGCTGGGTTGAGCTGTGGAAGCTTTTCCAACCCCAATTTCTTCTATACTGTCATCAGGTTCCTAAAATCACATGCTGCAGTGGAAGACCAGGGCCCACCTCTCCCTGCTCTGGTGAGTCATGTGTAATGTGGGTAAAGGAGATAACTGGGGTTAGAAAAATCCCTGGGATCCTGGCCAGAAGAATATAACAATCTCAGGATATTTGAAGGTATACTGCTCAACATCGTTTGAACAATGAATCATAAACAGTTAAAAATCTAATGCTAAAGATTACTATAAATCATTCGCGTATACTAGGAGAGTATTTAAATTTTTTTTAAAATGGCTCCAAATGTGTGTAATTGTGTAAACCTCTATCCATTGTGTCGTTCCCTTCACCAGAACAGACCTGGGCGCTGCTTTCTGAAAAACGAAGGCATAATGCCCACATGTGAGGAAATCCTGAACTCTCCATTCTTTATAACTGTCCTCGACTCACCTGCACTGTTACTTGTTACATGTGAGAACTGGGTCGTTCACGTCATTTATTTTCAAACATGTTTCCAGGTATGATGCGATGCCAGGAGGCAGGGATTCAGGGTGTGAGATGAATGAATGGGAAAGGAAGGGAGTACCGAGTAATTGACATGGGGTCTGCTGGGAGCAGAACTCAGAAGGAAGCACTGAAGATGGAGAGAAAGGATGAGTAAGAGATCCCGGAAGGCTGAACCCAAAGGGGTTGGCGATCACCTGGGAGCAGGAGGTGAGCGTGCCGAAGACTGCACGTAACCTGCAGAGCTCGGCCTTAGCTCTGGTAGATGGTTGTGCCACTGGCCCAAGTCAGGGAAACAGAGGAGAGGTGGGCCTGGGGGGACATCACAACGAGTTCTGCTTCTGTCCATGTTGTGAGACCAGGGGACCTGAAGCAAAGGTCTGTGGTGGGCAGATACACAAATGGGCCTGGCCCCTAAGGCAGGAGACCTAGATTCAGAAGCCAACAGCTCACACACAGGAGGTAGCTCACACCTTGGAAAGAGAAAAAGGGAAAGTAAAGGAAGGGAGCAAAGATGGGACCTTGGAGTATACCCACATTTCAGGCAGAGGAGGGGGAGGGCAGGCCGGCAAAGATGATGTCAGAGGTGCCAGGGAAGCCAGCACTCCCGATTCCAGGGAGAGGAGGCAACAGAATACAGCAAGGGCCGAGCCAGGTCTGCTGGAGCTGGCAGCTGATAGACATACATACAAATAAGCGGGGGGGAGGGGAGGGGGATGCCGATACTAACCCCCCAAAAGAAGCAAACTTACCTGAAAAATGCCTCAAGGTCAAACTTCAGTCTCTACAAGGACATACACTTCAAAGTTACAATATTTACAAGCAGACCCTTGTAGGCAAAAACGCTGAGGCCAGGGGGATATGTTCCCACTGATACGATCTGGGTACTTTTAACAAAAATCTTTTTTTAGTTTAGTCACAGCAATAATGTCTACGTCATTTCTGACTGCAGATCAGCAGATAAAGTAAATCAAAGTTAACCAAAGCAACGACAAGCATCTGAAAAACATTTTACTGGAATAAATTCAACCAGGGTTGGAAATTTGGTTTTATTTCCTTCTACATTGCAACGTGCAACAAGAAGGAAGCATCAATAATAAAGCGGCCCTGTTTAGACATAAAAGTTTACTGAACTGCTCTCTGCTGACTTATTTGAGTTTATACTAAAGCTCCATGGTAAGGTAAATCTGCACTTACTTCACAACCCAAGCAAGTTTCTTTCTAATCCACATACCAACAAATGCACGGTATGGTACGAACTTTCAGCAGCAGGCTCACGTGAATATTGTTCTGCATTAAGTAGCCAGAAAATGATACTCTAAGAGAGTCAGAAATGTTCATTTCTGTAAATAAAGTCCTTATTTGAACATTTGGGTCAACTTTCTTTTTAAAAACATAGGGATTTGAAAGGATTATAAACACACTGTGAGGTGTAATTGCATTCCATTACAAATAAATGGTAACAAATAAATAGTAAATTCATCTAAAGAAGCCCATATTTTGTCCTTAAAATGCTAGCGTTTTTTCCTGTTCTTTAACATTACAACATTCCCAAACTGCAAAAACATGACATGTTCTCTCCCTGCCAGGAGT